CAAAGAGGAAGGTCAAGATTTCTTCTTGCTGATGCCAGAGTGTAGGACACGGAATAATCAATTCAAGTTGCAACAACTCAGAGTCAGGCAGGACATCAGGAAAAGTTTCCTCAAGATCATTTGTACCTGCAAATGCCATCGGATTCTGTTTAAAAAAGAGCCATTTGTTCATTTCCTAAAAATGAACAGTGGGGAGTCAAAAGATTTTCCAAAATGAGATTCACATTTGGCCACAAATTGAATTGGGTGCCCACTGAAATTGTGTGAACCAAAAAGAGTTGTTTTCCAAGTCAGCAAATTGGCTTCTAAACAAAACCTTCTTGTCAGTTCATGGCTCTGCTGTTAACCGTGCATCACACAAGTGAAAACTATTTACTGTTAAGGGGAAAATACTTTGAAATGAAATATGCATATTTAAACACAGAATAAGATCACAGTATAAAGAGAAGAACCATTTAATATCATTAAAGGTCATTGAGCAACTTGGCTTAAAGACAGATCTATCTGAATGTTCTGGGATGTTGAATACCTCCTCCTGTCACTTACTTCATAAATCAATAAATCAAGTTTTCCACACTCTTCACAAGTTTTAAATAATCAATATGATTTTTCTCTTAATATGTCCACAGTTCTCTCTAGTTTTGCCAGACACATTTATCAATTCCCTTTTTCCTATTATATTGCATGTTTGTATGTTATTCTTACTAATATATGCATTCTGTGCTCACTTTTGTCCACTGGACCACACCTTTCAGAATAATACAAATACCAGCAGATAACAGCATCTGTGAAGAACAAATTGGATTAATTTGCCTTGAAATGTGAACCAAACTTCATCTTTAACTGCTGAGGATTCATCTTTAAATGACACAATACAAATACCAATTTTATTCTGGAATAAACACATTGTGGGTGCTATTAATACGTTCTTCACCATTAACACTGCAATTCTATGCACGTCTACTCAGAAGTATGCCTCATTGACCTCATACATTGAATTGCAAACTAAAGCTTATATCACAATCAATCTTTATGATTTCCCCAGTTTTTGTTTTGTTTTGTTTTGCAGCTAGAATGGTTCTACTTTGGAAGCCTCTGGGCAGCTGCTTAAAATGGTAAATGAAACTCATGCATATTTTTCTACATATAACAAATGTGATATTCCTTTGGATTCAAAGGTGTCTTCTCATGATCACTTGGACATTGGTTCTTTCCTGTGAAGCAGCACCTTCTGCATTGCTTGCTTAATGTCATTGTTTCTCAGGCTGTAGATGATGGGGTTGAGGACTGGTGTGACAACAGAGTAGAACACAGAGACCACTTTGTTGAAGTCAAAAACATGGATTGTCTTAATGCGGATGTACATAAAGATGGTGGTGCCAAAGAATATGATGACAATGGTGAGGTGTACAACACATGTGGAAAATGCCTTTTTCCGTCCCTCCCAGGTAGGGATGCGCAGTATGGTTCCAATTATGAAGACATAGGAGATAATGGTGAAGGAGAAGGAGGTTACCAATACAAGTGACCCAATAATGAAATTGATTATTTCAACCACAAAAATGTTCTTGCAGGAGAGCTTCAACATAGGTGGAGCATCACAGAAGAAGTGGTTGATGATATTGGATCCACAGAAAGGCAAACGGAAGAGGAAGGCTGAGGGCAACACTGGTGCAAGAAAGCCACCCAGCCAGGAGCCAAAGGCCAGCCAACCACACATCCTTTTGTTCATCAGAGTGGTGTAATGGAGTGGGTTGCAAATGGCCAGGTATCGGTCATAGGCCATTGATGCCAGCAAGAAGCATTCAGCAGATCCAAGGAAGTAGAAAATGTAGAGTTGAGTGAAGCAGCCAGGGATTGAAATTGTCCTGCTCTCAGTAGCTATGTTGACCAGCAATTTGGGCACAGTGACAGTAGTGAATCCAATATCCAAAGAAGACAGGTTACCAATAAAGAAATACATGGGAGTATGAAGGCGATAGTCCAATTGGATCAGCAGGATGATGACAATATTCTCAACTAACATAAGCAAGTACATTAGAAAGAAGAGGGAGAAAAGGAGCAGCTCTACTCCATGTGTATTTGGGAAGCCAAGGATGATGAATTCTCTCACCAGTGTCCAGTTATCTGCCTTCATTTCTCTGCCCCTAGGATAGACCTCTTGATAAAGAGCATAACAAATCAGTAAAGCAGAAAGGGGAGGAAGAGTGACAGGAATAAGAAAATCGATGTTTTGTAAACACATTTAGACTTTAGCTGAGAGAACATCTTTGGAGAAACCAACAGATGTGATTATGGACCCCATTCTCTCTCTCTCTCTCTCTCTCTCTCTCTCTCTCTCTCTCTCTCTCTCTGTGCGTGTGTGTGTGTGTGTGTGTGTGTGTAGGGGTAATTCCAATATCCAATCTAGCACATACATTGAATATTTGATTACATTTGTTATGGTACCCTCCAATCCTGAACAGGATGATGGTTCTAGTGGCTTTCAACTATGGGATGCATGCATGTTTTGCGGGGCAGGAGTGTTAATATAAATCCTAAGGGCCAAAAAAGAATGTGTATTGAACATTTCATTTGCTATTGGTGACAGAGAGAGAACATATTCAGATATGTTTACATCAAATAAAATCTCACTAGACAGTGTTGTGCAACCTACAACTGGGTTGTGACCCACCAGATGAATACCAGATGGTTAACTCATTCCCCCTGCAAAGCTTGTGAAATTTGTTTCAGGTGAGGCAGCTGCTTCCATTGCTATTAGCAGCATACTTTCCAGGGTTTTTAAGCACAATGATCCTTACCTGGAATTCTCCCATAGCACTATTTTCCTCATTTCAGTGAAACCATTTATGTGACATAATGTATTTAAAGTGCTGTCTAGTTTGATCTTATTATCACAATGACAAATTTCTAGTGGTTGTTCTCTGGGAAAACATTTCAAAACCACCAGGCAATTTAAGCACACTAAAGACAAATTGAGAAGGCACACTAAAGACAAATTTAAACCCGCAGTGCAGAAACACCCAAACTATCCTATCAAACACAACTCTTTGAGCTCAAGGACTCAATAGCACTCAAGTTTAGGCTGTAAAGAAAAGCAAACAACATCCCAGTGTCCACAGGTTTAATATTCAGGATCTATTCTCTCTGACCCCTACATGTACTGCCTTTTTATTCAGAATTTCAGATGAACATTCCTGAAATTGCTCTTCAAACAGCAGTGCATGGATCTCCAGCCCCCTGGATTCTCAAACAGAACAATCATACAATCTAACAATAAGGCTAGAAAGGGAGAATGTTGCAAATTTGATTATGCATGTGTTATCTTTTTAAAAAATTCACAGACAACAGTGAACATACGTTGGCTGTCTTCCTTAACCAGGATGTACAAAGTCATATAAATATTAGGTCCCATCTTTAATCCAGTGAAATGAATTACTCCTAAGGTACAGTCATAAATCTTCTATCTCACAGTACTCTGGTTACTTAGAATAAAGAGCAACACAATTACATAAACCAAATCCTAAATATCTCTCACTAGAATCCCCCTGTAAACCAGTACTCTTGAAGTTTCATGATGTGAAGTGCTACTGCTGGAAAACACCAAAATACAACACTTGGTACCAAACATTCTACTATCAAAGTGTTAGAGGTCTTTTGATGGAAAATAATCAGTAAAATTTTCACTACTTACAGATGCAAAATGCAAGAGAAGACAAGAGTTTTCTGAATTAACCAAAATAACTAATAGTGTCAGTTCTGAAAAAATCTGAACACCTACATTATGGAAGTTCAGATTAAAGTAGCCCAGTCTGTAAGTGAATGCTACTATTTCTTCTTGAAGAACTGGGATTATCTTAGAAAGCCGATCAAATAAAGTAAATAAGGTTGCTTCCCAATATGAGATAAATTACTTTAAAAATGTTAGATTATATAGTCTAAAGAACAGCATATGCTTATACATACTGATTCTTCCCAGATGTATATATTAACAATAGCGCAGGATGTTTGGGAGTTTTATGGGCATCTTTCCATTAGTTTCTGGTTCAAGGCTGCTAAGACACAAGGGATAGTGAAATGTTTCATCACTTTCAGTAATTCCCTCCTTAGCTTATTTGTCTGTTGATGATTACTAGATCATTAAACATGATTTATGTGGAAAATACAGTTCCATAATGAACAAAGTATTATTTATAAAGAATTGCTAGCTCAGGCTGGTTTATGACAAATTGGAGGGAAGTGCAAAACCCAGCAACATATCAAATTTTTTGTATCTTCTTAATTTAAGGGAAAGAGTATTCTGTTGATCAGCACAGGCATGTTTAAGATAACTTATACTTGTCACAATTCCTCACTAGTTAAAGAGACCCAACTTGTCTTGAGGGCCCCAAATGTGCATATTCAGACTAGTAGAACTTCCAAGCAGAATCACATTGGCTCAGCATAGGTTCCTCGAGATAAATATTGGTGGCAAAGTATACTAAAACAGTATTTACTCAAGACTCCCAGGACTGTGCCCAAATACTGAAATGGCATCCAATGCTTTCATTCTATGTGAACTGGGTTGTACCAAAATATATTTACATATTATCAGAAGTTCACATCTACATATGAGATGAGGATCAAACTGCACATTATGCTTCTAGTGACGGCTTCTAGTAAGTCACAACCTTAT